AGTCGACAAGCGCCTTTGTTACTGGGACCAGTAACTTTAAGAAACGCCCCCATTAGAACCCATGAGAAATGCAAGAAATGCATTATTGCTCAGTCTGCAAAGTCTTTCCTGGAACAAACACCAATTGCAAATAACATACTAAAAATAAACCTGAAAAATCTGTTTAGAACAGCATACTATGTTGCAAAGAGTGAACTACCACTGGCAAAATTTAGCAGTCTTTGCAAACTTCAAAAAGCAAATGTCCACTTGCCTCTTACCCGTGACTTCAGTGGAAATTTCAAATTCAGGATCTGACACAGACTGATTCATGTCCTACACAGTTCTTACAAGTTCATAGAAATTTCTGTTCAATTAGAACCAAGTATTTGAGTTGATGGTTGTAATTTTTATACAATGTTGCAATTTGTGTTTCAACAATTTTTTTGATTAATGTTTTGTTTCCGTTACAATATTATACTTTAATGTATAAGATTGTAACGGAAACAAAACAGGAAACAAAACATCAATCAAAAAATTGCTCTCTTTTTTATTTGGGCTACTTAAATTTATTTTGGGCTACCAAAAACTGAAGAGTCCCTGCCCGAAGGGCTACCAGGGATTTTGAAATTTTGCGAGCCCTGAGACAGTTGGAGGGCAGGCGTCAATAAAACAGGACACATGAAGTCCCAAAAACCTGCTGTGTTTTACAAAGAAACTTGATTGGTTTCTGTGCTCTTTTAATCACTGACATATTTTTAAAAAGTCCATTCACTGGTTTTCTTCTTTTTTTAAATCTTCTTTGGCAGAACACAGAAATGTCTAATATCTTATTAAAGGTGGCATCCCTCAAGGAACTATTTTTGGTCCTCATTATTTTCAGCATCACAACACTTCGAGTCTATATTTCATAAGCAACATATTCAATATCACTCTGTATGCAGATTATAGTACATTTTAATCTACCTGCTGTACCTAAGAGCTCCTACTCACTGAAAAACTTCTTCGGCTGTTTAGAATAATTTCTGGATGGCAAAGAAACAAACAAAAAAAACCCCCAAAACAGAGAACACTGTTTATTTTCAATCAACAACAAAAATCAGTGATTGCAGATAATCAGGTCAGTAATCAGAAGAACATCTCACCTTATCGAGGATGCTCAGTACGAGGCCACACAGTTCTTCATCACCATGGTCTTTCAGTAACTCCGCCCTCTCTGGGTTCCCATTGGCCTCCTTTAAAATCCTCAGCTGCCACTCAAACCGCTCCAACTGCTTCTCCAGACAGACGTCCGGCTCACCTGACGCACGTTTACCTGCCAACCGACACAAAAACATGACCTTGAGTTACAAACATGCTTTAGAGCAGAGGTTCCCAAAGTGTGGGGCCCGCCCCC